TGTTAATTATTGTAACTGTCCTACTAACCTGTTTTGAAACTGTGTCATTGTTATTTCTTTCTCAATAAAATTAATTTAATAAATAAATAAATAAATAAAAGTAAAAAAAAATATTAACCAGGCAGATTTAAAGAGGAACCAAATAAAATATCTTTAAATATATGTGTATAGATAATTGGCTGACTAGACACAGCTGCAGGGAGACTTAGTGAGCTGGAAGATAGATTTGAAGAATTAGAAGAGAACAGAGGGCAAAATGATGGAGGATGTAAAAGAAAGGCTAACATTCTGGGAGGCCGAGGCAGGAGGGTTGCACGGCCTCGGAAACTTTGAGCCCAGCCTCGGCAACTTAGCAACTCACTGAGATCCTATCTGAAAATAAGAATAAAGAAGAGCTGAGGGGCTAGCTCCATGTGAAGGCCTGGGGCAGCCTCTAGGATCGTAAGGGGGATGCACACTAAGGCCTTGAACTCATGGTGATCCTCCTGCCTCAGGAGGAGGAGAGAAGATCTAAAAGAAAAGAACCATTTATTTGGATCGCTGGTGGCAGAAGAAGTGAGCCTTACTGGGAAGGGCCTTGAAACTCCCATCTGCCTTCTGTTTCCTTTCCTTCAGGCTCGAAGAGAGAGTGCACCGTCAGTTCTGAAAGCTCTCCCAAGAAAGTGAAGTGGTCCAACATTGTCATCTCGTCCCAGTCATCCTTCCTCTCTGACGGTCACAGTGCTGAGGCTGAAGATGCCGTGAGTTCTTCCAAGACATGCCGTGAGTTCTCAGTTCTAGATCTGACCTAGGTGGGCAAGGATGGGGCCTCTGACAACGTTTGGGGCAAAGCTGCCAGGGCCCCATCTGGCATCCACCCCTGCCTGGACCTCCTCGCAGCACCCTCTGCAGCCTAGTCCCCCTTAACCCCCAGGTCTCCCCAGCCTCTGCCCAGCACCCTCTTTCATACACTTGTCACTCTAAGCCCCGTGGCACCCTCAGCCTCACTTTCTGGCCTGCACCTCCTTTGCACACAGGCACTGAGTGTGCCTTACCTGTCTTTTCCCAGCCAGTGCTGGGACACCAGGGGCTTAAAGACCTTTGCCTGTCTCCTGGCCCTTTACCTTGAGGAAGGTGGGTGCTGTTGCCATGTGCTGCCCCCTGCCACGCCTCCTCACTCTTGCCAGTCCCTCCAAGGTTGTCCCTCTTCACACTTGGCACAGGGCTGGGCCTGCTCTGTGGGACGTTTTCAGGTCAATATCTGGTCGCCTTTCCCCTTCCCTTTCCTCTGTCAAACCTGCTCATCCAACAAGACTGAACTCTGATGTCCCCTCCTCCGGGAAGCCTCCCTTGACCTTCACACAGTCACTTCTCCTCTGGCCCTGGTGTCCTGTGCAGGCTCACTAGGTCAGATTCCCCCACAACGCTGGGAGCTTTCCAGGAAGAGTCCAGGGCCACCCACACAGGACCTGGTCCAAGGCAGTCGGGAGGCGTTTGCTGGCTGCGAGAACTAGCTAGCATGAGTGTTACTTCACTCCCCACCAGCTTTCCTCTCCTGGATGCTGCCTTTCCTTTACTGTAACCTTCCTCCTGCAGGGGCCAGGAGTGGATCCCCTACCCCCAAAAGCAGCCCACAGTCCACCAAGCGAAGCCCTCAAACACTGAAGCGGAGCCGGGCAACCACCTCGCTCGAGGCTCTGCCCTCGGGGACAGAGCTGACAGACAAGAACGGGCAGTGCTGGAGGCTGGGAGCCCTGCAGACCAGGGACAACCAAGGCATTCTCTATGAAGGTGCTGTGCCCAGGCAGCCAGGCTGGCCCAGGGTGGGGACCTTTCCTTAGGATGGGAATGGAGGCTGCTCTGCTCTGGTCGCTGTAGACCTGCCTCTGGCAGTCTTGAGGGCCCAGACTGCACACTGACTCACCTGCAGGGGCTGGGCAGGTCCTGTGAGTTCACGGGTAGGGAGGAGGGTGGCCGGGAGGGTCCTGCACCTGGCCCATTAAAAGCACTCACTGCACCCACAGTGGCAATGGGAGCGTGGTCACAGGAGTGTGGGCCAGGAGGTCACAAGACAAGGACAGTCTCGGCTGGCCTGCAGGGATAGCATGGGCCCCCACCCAAAATTGGGTTAGATGTTGTGTAACTTTTTTTGTTTTCCTTTGGCTGCGTTAAGGTCTGGTGCAGCTTGTTGAGCTGGGGATCAAATTGTGGTCCCCTGCACCTGACTGAGTTTGCCCAAGCAGGCATTTAAACAACTGAGCTAACCCAGAACCCCCTAAATGTTGTGTTAACTTTTCTCTTGTTGATGAGACAAAATATCCAATGCCACAGTTAAGGAACGAAGGTTTATTTAGCTCACAGTCCATGGAGGTTGAAGTCCGTAATCAGCTGGCTCCAAGGCAGGGCAGTGTGCCTCAAGGGCAGCAGTTCAAGGCAGCAGAAGACAGCAACGGCAGCAAGAGCACAAGGGGGAAAGCAAGCCTCTGTCCTCCCTTATGTGGTAGGCGGCCTCCCACATGGCCCCATACCCACCCAAGCTCTGTGCCCTCCTCCTGCGTAGGCTCAGGATGTTTACAGGCTGAGGACCCTGTCCCCTACTGAGATGCTTAGTTAGACTTCTGTACTTCTCTCATTGAAACAACATCCTAGAGCTAGGGCCTGTCCTCTACACCCAGCAGGTTACTTAGTTGAGCTTCTAGACATCTTGGGTTGACACTGTATCAACCATAACTGATGTGGAGAATGCCAACAGAGCCCAGGTGCCAAGAGGATATGGCAGATTTGGGGCTTTCTTAATTGGGGTCTTAGTGAAGAGCAGGGTGTGCCTCCCACACAGGTCCAGAATGCTCCAGGGAGCAAGGGAAGGGAAGGAGCCCAGCGTTGGTGTTCATGGTATCTGCGGTGAGGCTTCCACACACAGGCTGGTGCCTCCTTCCCAGGGTGAGACTTCCAGCAGCTCACTGAGCATCTTTGGCAGTAAGGGGCATCCCCATGGTGGCGTCTTAGCATCAGCAGTACCTAATGGTCCAGGCACTGCTGTATGTAGGTATTTTATTGGCAGTCTTTAAGTTGAGATAATATCTATAAAACATAAAAGTCATTATTTTAAATTGTACTACCCAGTGGATTTTAATGTATCTACAGTATCACACAACCTCACCACTAATTCCAGCACATTTCCACCCCCCAAAAAATAAATCCAGTACCTCCAGTAAGGTCTGAATGTCCCTAGCAGCTCATGTTGAATGTTATCCCTATGAGGAGCTCATAAGAGGTGGGACCGGATACCGTGAAGAGACAGCCAGGTGGCTTGGGCCTGGGGCCCCGAGGATGGACTCCTGGTCAGTGGCCTGTGGAGCAAAGCAGCCCCTCAGTGTGGTTCTGGGTTGTGGCTGTCCCTCTGCTCAAGCACTGGATGTGGCTGGCTCAGGAAGTGGCCTTGAGTATACACCGATCTTTCCCAGCCACAGTTGTGGTGCCACATGGGGATTGTGGTCTCCAGGGAAGCCTGTCAGACACGGGGTCCCAGATTCTTACGGTGACTGTGGCCACCTCTGTCTAACATGTTGCTAAGCCCGGGCCCCAGAGGGGACAGCAGGTATTAGTGTGGGTCCACAAACATCAGGAGGAAGTGCTGGGGACCCTTCCTCTCAAAGTCCACGTTCCAGAGCCCTGGTCCTCAGCCTTGGGAGGGGGACGGTCTCAGGCCCACAGTGTGCACCCTTTCCTGCCACCTGGATGGCCACAGAGGAAGAGGAGAAAAGCTCCTCAAAAATACAAAGGAGGGTTGTGGATATCGCGCAGTGGCACAACACCTGCCTGGCAAGCACCAGGTCCTGAGTTTGATTTCTAGTACCAAAAATAGATAGATAGATAGATAGATGGATGGATGGATGGATGGACGGACGGACGGACGGACGGACGGACGGACGGACGGACGGACAGACAGACAGACAGGTTCTGCATACCAAGAGTGTGCTTGCCTGTGTGAACCAGGAAACCAGAATAGCTTCTCATTGCTAGGAAGTTTGTGGGCCATGACCGTGACCCCCAGGTTCTGACCTTGATCCCTTGTTTCTGTTCCTCCGTAGCTGAGCCTGCCTCTGTCCTCCCCTGCAAGTCAAAGTCTCAGAAATACCAGTTCTCCCTCAAACTGGTGAGTAGCCTCTGAGCAGGGGACCTGGGGCTTTGCAAATGTACTGTGGACCTCTGAGCCCCTCTGTAAGCTAGGAGAGTTTGGGATGCCTGCTCCTCATGTGGGGCTGGGGGAAACCCCTGGCCAAATGTAACCTGAACGAGGATATCCCCTCTCAACTCCTAGTTTCCTTACCAATGAGTTTGTAACATGCATCATGTGGCCCTCCTGCCACTACTGCCTGCCCTGTGTGTAGCATGTATCTATCAAGTACCTGCTGTGTTGGGGCTTGAGTCCAACAGAGAGCACAGCAGAAGACCCCAAGTTCTGATGAAACCCCCCACAGCAGGTGCTCAGCACAAGGGCTCAGTGCACAGGAGCCATGAGCACTCAGGTGTGCAGGGTGGACCTCACTGGGGAAAGTGAGCAACCTTCCTGCACAGTGAAGTGCTGCATGTGAAAGACTGTTGTATCATCGTGGTCCGTAGCGAGTGCTGGCATTTTGGGTGACTTTCTTGTTCTTGAGACAGGGTGTCTATGGCTGGCCTTGAACTTGCAGTGATTCTGTTGCCTCAGCCTCCCAAATGCTGGGATTACTGCCGTGCACTACCATGCCTGGCTCGGGTGACTCTTCTTTTCTTCTTTAACACTTACTTGGACTATCCCATACCCCAGAAAACCAGGGACAGCCTGGTCGGGTGACGCCCCCAGGCCCTAAATGGAGGCTGTGGTTTGGAGCAAGCTACTGAGAGCTAGTTCTGTTCCTGAACCTGAAAGTCCTAGGCATTCCTTCATTGAATTGTCCCAACAAACCCATGGGATGGATCACCACCAGGCCTCTGTTTAACTCTTTTCTGCAGAGTTTAGTTTGCATCAAGTACACAGTAAGCACTTTAGCCATCCATGCTCTTTTTGCCATTAGCACTGTGGTTACCATTGCCAGAAGCAGAGCCTCTCTCTTAGACCATCCAGTCAGCATATCCCAAGGCTGAGAGGGAAGTGGTGCTGAGTTATGAGTCTGGCACAGCGGCAGCAGAATGGGAAAAGGAGGGCCTATCTCTATCTGTTAAAAGCATAATCTGAAGGTTGCTCACAGTTCTTTTGTTCTCATTGGCCAGCACTTAGTCATGTGATCATAGCAGCCACATTTCCCAAAGGAGGCTGGGACATGTAGTTTTTATGTGAAGGCTGCCTATCTAGGGATACCTTGTGGATCCTATCATAAAAATGCAGATGAAATATATCACTTGCAGTGTCAGGTAGTGTTCATCTGTGACACCATGAGGAATTTGGTCCTAATGCAGGGAGTTGAAAAATCCTGGGGTCATTTAGGTATTGGGCTGTTGTGTAAGGGAGTTGAGTGTAATAGCCTCTGCTCTCCTATCCCCTCCAGGATGCCAAAGATGGGCGCCTGTTCAATGAGCAGAACTTCTTCCAGCGGGCTGCCAAGCCTCTGCAAGGTATTCTGCTGAAAGTGGGTGGAAGAGTGTCTTGGGGTACCAGCTTGCGCACAGCAGCTCGCGTCTCCCTGCTGGCTTGGGCAGAGTGGGGACTTGGGCCCAACTGTGAATCCCATCTGTGTCCACAGCCAACTCCTGTCACCCTGGGGCCTGAGGGGATGGCAGAACTGGCTCAGACCAACTCTTAGGAGCCAGCTTACACATTTTAAAGAGTGCTCCAAGCTGCTTGTTATATGCAGTCAAGGCATTAAAAATTAAATCATGTAGCTTATTTGTGTTCAACACAAAGACAGTGAACACCCAGAGCCTCATCATTTCCTCCTGCTTTCTTGCACGTGCATTCCCTATGACTCTTGTGGTTGTTTACGCCCCTGGTTCTGGATACTGAAGATGTAGCACAGGTGCGAGTTCGGGGCCCCTCTCCATGCCTGCACCAGTCATATCGTATTGGTGGCTTGAAACTGGCTCTGCCAGGAAGTTTTTTTTTTTTTTTTAGGGAAGGGTCTACAGGATGTCCAGGGTCTCACTAGTGATATACCTGTTTTACAGCCTCCCAAGAGCTGGGATTACAGGTGCACGCCACCACGCCCAGTCTCAATCGCAGTCTCAGTGTGCCCTGGGGGGGGGGGGGGGCGCGAAAGCCAGCACAGCAGGCCCAGGGATCAAACTCCCGGCCTCTGCATCTGCCTAAGCAGGTACTTTAATCAGTTGAGCTCTTTGGCCGGCCCTTCTGCCAGGAAGTATTTATGCTGCAGAAACTGGTATAAATGCCAGTGCTGACTAGCTTTCCCCGAGCAGTCAGCTGTCGTGCTGTGTCTGCACACCACTGGCTGTGTACTGGCCCCTGGGGACCCCAGCAGGCAGCCAGGGGCACAGTCGGCCTGGCATGGCCAGTGCCGCCACATTGGTCTCATTACCTATACCTGTGGGCACGGAGATTCCTCTGCCAGCTTGTCCCCTTTGCTCACTCCAGATGGGGATGTTCCTCAGAAGTCACCTGCCTTCACCACTGTCACCTTCAGGCATGGATTACAGACACCTATGGGTCACTGACACCCACCTTTTTCACTGTCACCTACTACAAAGATTCCTCTCCAACAAGGGGACATGGTCTGTTCTCCTGGCTTGAAAACTGGCTGCTACCTCAGGGCCTGGCACCTTCCAGACTCTGAGTTGAGCCCATTGTCTCCCTCAGTGAACAAGTGGAAGAAGCTGTCCTCGACCCCGCTCTTGGCCATCCCTGCCTGTCTGGGTTTCGGTGTTCACCAGGACAAGTACAGGTGAGCTGTCTCACTTGTCACCCACACCGACACCCATTCCTTCTCTCCCTGTCCTGTGTCCAGGTCCAGCTGCAGCTCCAGAGCCACTGCCCAGTCAGCTGCCACCTCCTCTTCTCTTGTTTTGAGCCAGGCTGTGTCTGGCCCAGTGGGGCCTTTTCTATGCCCCGGTGCTGGGACCTTGGGGCTCCCCCACCACGGTCTTCCCTCAGAACCATATTCCTTCCTCCCCACGTGTCTGCACCTCCTAGGATGCCCATGTCTTCCAGGTTCCTGGTGTTCCCCAGACTGGGGAGGAGCTTACAGTCAGCCCTGGATAAGAGCCCGAAGCATGTGATTTCGGAGAAGTGTGTGTTCCAGGTGGCCTGCCGGCTGGTACGTGCCAGGAGCTACTCGGCATCGCGGGGCTGGCCCACTGGGTGCTAGTTGCTCCGGCTGTTGGCTCATGGATACACCCAGCCTGCAGCACACCAGAGCCACAGTGGGAGTGAGCAGACCGCCACTGGGGGCCCAGCCTCAACTGGACGGGTGCACAGGGCTTCCTGGGAGAGTGGTTTCTAAGGCAGGACTCAGGCTGAGTGGGAAACAGCAAGGTGCTGGGCAAGTAGCGGTGAGGGCATGCGAGAACATTCCACACCAAGGACTCAGCCTGGGCACAGCTTGTTTGCTAGCATATAAGGCATTTATTTAATCATTCGTTCACTCCTCATTTTTGCTCAGGTGACATGCTGGCTGCTGGGCTCTGTCCCAGGGGCTGTGGGGAGGAGGGAGCACCATAGACACAGGCTTCATGGGTTTTGGGGAGAGTAGGGGTTGAGACAGGGTCTTACTAGCTGGTCTGGGCTGGCCTTGAACTTAGTGTAGCCCAGAAGCCTGAAACTCACAGTAATCCTCCTGCCTCTGCCTCCCAAGTGCTGGGATTACACTGTGCCACCATGCCTGGCCAAGGCTTTGTGTGGTGGAGCTCACAGTCTGTTGGAGAGGATGCTATGAAACAGTTGCAAGGCTGCACCCCTCTGTCCCCGCACATGCTTATGAGGCCGGTGCAGGCAGATGCAAGTTCAAACCCAGCCTAGGCAACTTGGTGACTTCGTGAAACCTTGCCTTAAAAATTGAAAGTGCAAAAGGGAACGCAGCTAAGTGTGAATGAGCTGGATTCGATCATGAGTACTAGGAACAAAAGAAAAGAAAAAACAAATGGTTGTGCAAATTGTGTCAAGTGCGGGGAGTAGAAGTGTCTCCTGCTCTGGTGGAGAATGAGAGCAGCAGTGAGAGTGTGGCACGTGGGTGAGCCTTGGGCCTTGCTCAGCTCTGTGCTGGGGCTGGGGCTGTGACCTGAGGTGTGGGAGCCAGGAAGTGGGAAGAGGAGAGGAAGGGCAGGTGAGGCCGGAGGCCTGCGGGGTCCCC